ACATCTCTATAGTGCACTACACTAGCGTAACATCTCTATAGTGCACTACACTAGCGTAACATCTCTATAGTGCACTACACTAGCGTAACATCTCTATAGTGCACTACACTAGCGTAACATCTCTATAGTGCACTACACTAGCGTAACATCTCTATAGTGCACTACACTAGCGTAACATCTCTATAGTGCACTACACTAGCGTAACATCTCTATAGTGCACTTGTCTGACATCATGCTGCTGACCTGCTCGGGGCCGTAGAGCGCGTCCGCGTACTCGTTGAGCAGGCTGAAGGCTTCGCTCGTACACTTGCGCTCGTTCATGTTGCAGGTGACGAGCACCCCCTGCGCGCCCACCTGCAGCTCGCGCGCGCCCCTGTGTTTCTTGTGCGCGTGTCCTCCGAAGCGCTTCCTGCTCCTCTTGCGCGTCTCGGACATACTGCTCTTTATCACACACTCTCTGCTGCTGCTGCTGGTGGTGCTGGTGCTGGTGCTGGTGCTGCTGAATGAAGAGATGCAGAAACTCCGCGTTATGAGCGCTCCTGGCACGCGTGTGTTTGTGTCTGTCGCGCTTCAGGCTCTCCGTAGCGCGCGTCATACAGGGCCCCGTGTGGGACATGTGATTACGAAACGCGTTTGACGGTGCTGCAAAAAAGAAGTTACAAAACCATAAACATCACGTGTGTTTTCATTTTAAAAGTTGTGAAAATATAGAGAATTAAATTTGTTTTTATATAAAAACACTTAAAGCCTTTGTGCATAATGTATTATAAAAGTACTCATAATTGTTTGTTGTAATAAATTGTATCATTTCATAAATTATGTGAAGTTAAAATGCATTATAAAATGTATTTGCAGATTCCTTATTACATATGCAATTGTTTATCATGTGTTTTGATGCAAAGTTGTAACAATGAATAGTTAAGTATCTTAACTGTGGATACAATTAAATAATACAATGCATTATAATGTCCATTACTAAGTACAGTGCACAGCATAAATGAGTACACCCCTCTAAACTGAACACATTCAGCAATTTCTCTGTACTCAGAAGACATGTCAGGGTTCTTTGGGGATGTAATGTTCCAACAAGCCTGCTTGATCAATTACCAAAGAATGCCAAAACTATTCAGCAAAATAAGATTTTATTATCAAAGTGATACAATGTGTTGCAATAATGAGTACACCCTCCTGAATGTTACTAAAGAAAACTAAAACAGTGTCTAGGTTTAAGGCTATTTCTGATCAACAGGTAAGTATATTGAACCAAAACTTTTAAAGACAAGTAATTTCCTGACAATTAAAAGTGTTATATAGCCCTCTGAATCATACTCAGACTTAATGCTGGCAGCAGTGGAACCACTCGAGAGAGAACTGCCAGGTGACTTATTTCTTAGCATAAAAGAGGAGAATGGTACAAGAAGAATACCACATTATTGTTTTAAGTGTGAAAATATAGCAGAAGTAGCACCTACATTCAAAAACAATGGACTTGTGATAAGGCTGAAATAATCAGGTCTTCACTTTAAGTTTTCATTTAGTAATGAGTGAGTTTCTGCTAGAAAAAGAGCCGGAGAAATAACATGCAAGCGTCTCAGAGCCGGCAAAAGCTGTGAAAAGAGTGACACTTTATCTCACAGAGTATGACGCAGCCTGCAGGAGTGCATGCATGGTTGTTGTCACCACTAGAACTACCCACTGTAGCCAAAGCAAAATAAACTCATTTAACCTCTTCCAGGGCCCATATTTACAAAATAGAGACTTCTGGGAATCCATTCTCTGCTCTCAAGAGACCAAGTCAATCATTTCAGATCCAAAAGCATCCAGAATGTTCTGGTGTTGCTAGAGGAGGAGTACAGAGAGAAGTGCCTGGTACCCACAGTGACGTTCAGTGGTAGTAAAGCTCTTCTATAGGGATGTATGAGAGCTGAAGGTGTGAGGGAGTTGTGCTTTATCAACGCTGGCATGAGTTCACACACCACTGTGTGATGTAATACAAGAACCTGAAACTGAAGATGCTACCCTCCCCTCATTCCCTGCATTATTGGGCTTTTTTTTAACATGACAATGCATATATTCATTCTCCCGAGGTGAAAATCCTTCAGTGGACATGTGTTTCACTCAGTCTTAACACTCTTGAGCTGCTGTGAGGGATTCTGTAGAGACCAGCTGAGCAACACTACCCATTAAAGACCAGAGCACTGAAGGATATAATATTTAATAATGCATTATATACACAGGCTTCAAGTGAAGTGTTAAAAACCCATTCTATAATCTATTGTGAGGAACATGTTACGCATGTAAAACCTACTAGAACGAGCATAGCAGTCTCCACGTGCAACTGTTTTCATGTCCCTGACAGAACAAATTAAATGTGATTTATTATAAATATTATTGTACAGGTTTGTTAAAATCACAAAGACACAATTCATGAGATCATCATCATAATCATGAAGCTGTAATGCAGAATAACGACAGACGTATCTGACAGCTAAACACATCATCTGAAGTCTGAATATGGACATGCATGCTTGCGGTCATGTCTTTAATGAGCAGTGTGCTCTTCTGAGATCATATCATGTGCTGATTCTCTCACAAAAACAGAAGAACGGATGTAGAAATGTTAAGCTTAAGCTTGCAGATGTCCCTGACACAATTTCTAAAAATACTTTAAAAAAGTGTTTTCTTTATAATAAATAAATTCTTCAGCAGGTTTGTTCAAATCTAAAGGCACGATGCATCCAGTGTTCACCGGAGGGGTCTAGAGCTGCAGGTCTGTGGTGTTCTGATGCGGTTCTGTTTGCTGGACTGCAGTAATCCAGACTCCCACTTGAAGAAGCCGCAGCTCTGTCGTCTGACGGGGCAGCTGTAGAACCCACGGCCGTGGTTCGGCCCGCCGTTCCCCACCGTCAGACGCCTGGCCCTCCGGCCGCAGCCGCACAGAGGAGACGTGATCTTAGACGCGAGGCTCACAGTGCGGGGCGGGTCTGTATAAACACTGAACGACGCGCCGCTGCGTCCTAAGAAGCGCGAGAGCGGCCCGTACGGGTCTGTGCGCCGGAGCGGTGTGCAGGCAGAGCTGGACGCTGGTCTGGCAGGTTTGTAGTGGTCTGACCGGGTTTTGCTGGGTCCTGTGGGATCAGGCTCCTCAGGCTCCGCCCCCACGAGCACACCATCACAGGAGCCAGGCTCCTCCCCCTCGGTCAGCAGGACTCCGTCTCGCCAGCAGGCGTCTGGAGTCTCGGGGTCGTAGGTCATGTCCGAGAGCCCGGCCAGTGTGCTGAGATTCCCGAGCGGTCTGGACACGCCGGCACACAGCGGAGTGTTTGTGCTGCAGAGGACGGTGCGCGGCGACACGAGCGATCGACACACACTCGTCTGCTGCTCGTTACGCTCGGGTCGCTCACTCAGCGCTGAGGGACGCTCACCGGAGACGCTTGCACGCGGAGGTCTGGACTTCACCAGCGCCTGAGAGACAGAGACACATGCTGGTTTAGCACAGCTCAGCGCCGGCTCCTGATTGGCTGTGGCGTCAGGCAGGGGGTGGAGTCACCTGTGACAGAACTCACCCTCCTCAGAGACTTGGTCACAGTCAGCAGACAGCCGTCGAACACCATCCTCCACGCCAGCAGAGCCGTGTTCCTCGCGTCCACCAGACCTGAGCAAACCACCACAGGAGGAAACATGCTTCAATACATCATGATTACAGCTTATAAAAGACACAATGATGTGATTCTAAATAAAGCAATAAGCCGTGGTTTACAGTGAATTTATAACAGCTAAGGGACGTTGTTAGGTACGACGCAAAGCGGAGTTATAAAACCCTCTTAGTGAGTGTGTGTGCATGCGTGCGTGAGTGTGTGAGTGCGTGAGTGTGTGTGCGTGCGTGCAGTGTACCCGAGTGCTCTCTTCCTGTGAACTGGATGCCGAGGTCCAGCAGAGCTCCTCTCAGACCTTTGGGCTTCCGGTTATAGAAGAGCTGGCAAACAACCAAAAGAGTCAAACACTAAATGCCTGAAACCATGAACCGAACCGGGATGATTTCTCCCATTCATCAGGGTCAGTCTCTGGTGTGTGTGTGTGTGTGTGTATGTACCCTGTAAGTGACTCGCAGGTCGATCCAGCTCTTCAGAGCTTCAGGAAAACTCAGCTGCTTCCGTTTGCACTCGTACAGCAGACAGACTCCCAGATCCCAGTCTGCATCAACACACACACACACACACACACACACACACATTACAAATGAACCTACACAAGAGATAAAGCGCAGGCAGAGAGGCAAGCATTCTCTCACCTGACCATGTGACAAACGCACAGGGGTGTCCGGAGGGGGCGGGGCCTGTGCTGTCCGTCTCAAAGACGCAAACAACCAAAAGAGTCAAACACTAAATGCCTGAAACCATGAACCGAACCGGGATGATTTCTCCCATTCATCAGGGTCAGTCTCTGGTGTGTGTGTGTGTTTGTGTGTGTGTGTGTGTGTATGTACCCTGTAAGTGACTCGCAGGTCAATCCAGCTCTTCAGAGCTTCAGGAAAACTCAGCTGCTTCCGTTTGCACTCGTACAGCAGACAGACTCCCAGATCCCAGTCTGCATCAACACACACACACAGACATTACAAATGAACCTATACAAGAGATAAAGCGCAGGCAGAGAGGCAAGCATTCTCTCACCTGACCATGTGACAAACGCACAGGGGTGTCCGGAGGGGGCGGGGCCTGTGCTGTCCGTCTCAAAGACCACGCCCCTCTCCTGCTGGAGACTCTGCAGCCAGCGAGTGAATCTGGACAGACAGATGTGGAGAGGAGGGGCGGACTCCACCTGACCCTGTCGGCCAATCATACGCAGGGTGACAGATACATGACTGAACTAAGCATCAGTAATCACCAGAGGTGTCTATAAGAGCTCAGGATAACCTGTGTGATGCCGGTGAGCTCCGTGCAGAAGGCTGACAGTACAGGGTGTTCCTGCGGCTGGACGTACGAGTGGAACTCTGACTCCACCTCTCCGTTCGACACGTTCAGCAGGACGGCCGGAAACTCAACTGATGAGGGAGCAAAACACATGTGAAGCCAAGCGATGAGACATGAAACTCGAGAGGCGTCAGGACTCTTACTGATCTCCTGGCCGCAGCTGCTCTTCTCTCTCCAGCAGGTGGACTCAAAGTCAATGATGATCAGGAAAGAGAAGCGCTGCTCTGAGAAACAACAACACCAGCAGCAGCAGCAGAGTCAGTGACGATCCACACATGAACACACAGCAGAGACTCTTACTGCAGACCGACAGAGACACTCACACACACACTCACACACTCACACACACACAGACAGAGACACACACACACACACACACACACACACACTCACTCACTCACAGAGACACTCTCACGCATGCACGCACACTCACTCACAGAGACACTCACTCACGCACACACACACACACACACACACGCTTCCTCTGGAGATCAGCTGCTTCCTGTCACATGTCTGGTGTCTGGTGTGGGAATGTTCGCCGTCACTGAGACAGACGTCCACATTATCGGCTCTTGTTCTTCTTGGAGTTTCCCTGCAAGAGTTCAGCAAAACAGAGTTCAGATTTCACTCAATGCCTCATTCAAACATCAGATTTAGCAAAGTTTCATTATTACAGACGAGTCTTTTAATCAAAACCGTGTTTCTATTAGGGCTGGGTATTGACACAATTTTCACGACTGCAATTCAATCGGATTCTGATTTGATTCAATATCGATTTTGGATTTATATCAGGTACAGTACACCTCAACTAATGCTGTAAATTATACAGTAGTCAGTTGGTACTACATTACTATAATATTGAAGGTTCAAATTAACTGATTCGTACACAAACACTTAAATTAGACTCAATTACTTTTTTATAATAAAGTTATAAAACAAACTATACAATTACACAGTTATATTTCTACTCCAATTAGTTTTTTGAAATAATACATTTTTAAATGGTAGTTGACAGATTTGTTAAAATAAAAAAAACGAAATATTGAAGAACAGTAAAACTAATAAAGTAAAAATAATGAATATATTATATGGTGCATTCAGCCAAATGCTCCTCTCTAAAGTGGATTTTCTAGCTGACTAAAGTCACTGAATGTTTTTCCTGAGTTAAATGTGACGTTACGTGACATGTTTAAAAAGCTGTTATATTGACGTATTTCCGTGGATGAAACTGATTGAGGGATTATATGAGACAGGATACGGATTTCGGTACGTTGTTTCTTTTAATACCTTCAGATGTTCATTCATGTTTATTTTGTGCTGTAACTGGTACTAAAGCGAAGTCATCGATCTGTTCGCGTGCACCTCGCGCTGCCACTTCTGTTGAACTGCGGCGCTACAGCGATCGGTCACTCCGCATTAAACGTTAGCTTACTCGTGTAACCCCGGTTCTCTGATAACATCCGTTTGGGATCTCACTATGGGAATGCCTCAGCGGTGACCGAACAATTACAGCATGGTTGTCAGACCAATCTCTGGTATATAACCCACGGCATCATTCTCCGCATATCTTCTGCACTGTGCAGACTGCAAGAAGAGTGGTGAGCGGAGATACCTCACTTCTGACATATAAAAATGTGAGAATGACCTGAATGAAGTGTATTAAATATCACTCCAAGCACTAAATCAGCCAGAGATGACCGTCACATCAAATCTGTAATATCTCACAAATGTGCGCGGTGACACCCAGCGAACAGAAACTCTCCTGATCAGAGCCCAGGAAGTAGCCATTCCTCTCGTGGAGTGGGCGTGAAGTCCCGGTGGAGGCTGCAAATTTGTTTCTTTGTCACACATTACAAACGCATTTACCATCACTGACATGAAATAGGTCTCTCTCTGCAATTATCAGCCCAAGAGACGAGTGTAATCACTCTTCCTCTGATGAAGAAAACACTAACAATTCCACCAATATGATTGCTTCTGTTGTGTCCCTGACCTTAGGAACGAAAGCCGGATTAGTTCTTAGAGTAACTTTCGATCTGAAAAACGAAGAGGGGGGTCCCCACTCGAGATGAGGCGAGTTAGAAGGGAGGATGGCATCCCCCTGATAATTAGGTTTACCCCCAGAGCAGCGGTATGCAGTGTAATTTTCTTTGAAATATAAATGACTATTTCCCTGTATACAAACTAAAATGTATCTGATCGGAAAATCAGGGTGCTTATTCCCGTGTGAATATTTCCGAATGGAAAAACGGATGGACGTCAGAAAGAGAATGCCATTTGAGTATTGTAGAAAAAAATGGACAGAATTTGAAATCTAAGACCTTGTTTCATATGAAAGTAGCAAAGCTTATTGTCATTTACTGGATGTGAGACACGCTACAATGTTCTGTTCATTAACTGAAAACAGGCTAGACTAATCGATTCTTGGGAATCAATATCGTTTCACAAAAAAAAAATCTATATTTTTTACCCAGCCCTAGTTTCTATACTGAAAAGCAGCAGCAATATATTGTCTGTTTGTGAAGAGGTAAAGGGACCGTTCAGCCAAAAATGATCATTGTGTCATCACTGGCTCGTGAGTTTCTCTCTTCTGCTGAACACAACACAACATGGCTAATCACACAGATGATGGTCCCTATTGACTTACATAGTCTTTTTTTTTACCATACTATGGAAGTTACTGGCTACCAGCAACTGCTTGGTTACCCACATTCTTCAAAATATATTTTTGTGTTGAACAGAAGAAAGAACATTATGACAGAATGATGATTTTGGGCTAAACTATCCCTTTAACCATGTCAGTGTGACAACTAGAAATAATACCTCAAATTAATAAATAATAACAAATTATACAACTACTGAAAGTATATCCAACTTTACCTGCATACACACAGTATATTCACATAAAGCGATATATACTACACAGCCAATCTCAACTGCATGATTTCTTATTTCATCTCAAAACTATAATATTACCCAGCAATGTATTAAACATTCAGTCAAATATGGATGCTGGAGTCTTAAATCTTTAAACAGAGGCTAAACAAACGAGCGCGTCTGTCGTGATGGGTTGAGATGTAGCTTGCTTCCAGTCTGATAATGTGGAGGAGGTAGAAAATTAATCATTTTGGCAACTGGTTTCAGCAAATTCTCCAGTGAGGAGGAAACTGAGGTCTGAAGCAGTATTTTATAGTACAATGACCTCGTACACATCTAAAGATCACAGCAAATCACTGGTGGACACTGGAAAAAAACATTTTGACAAATCTAGCAACTCACATTTGAACAAAATCACAGCAGCTGAACAGCTAAAAATGTTTAGCTAAAAGAGTTTATTTCCTCTAACATCTGCATTCGTTTCCACTCAGCAATGCCTCTGCAGAGTTTTAAACTGAAGTTCACTCTCTGATGAGCAGCAGCGCCTGGCTGTGAGCGCTAGCGCGGGGGTCTGAGACTCTGCAGCCAGCGAGTGAATCTGGACAGACAGATGTGGAGAGGAGGGGCGGACTCCACCTGACCCTGTCGGCCAATCATACGCAGGGTGACAGATACATGACTGAACTAAGCATCAGTAATCACCAGAGGTGTCTATAAGAGCTCAGGATAACCTGTGTGATGCCGGTGAGCTCCGTGCAGAAGGCTGACAGTACAGGGTGTTCCTGCGGCTGGACGTACGAGTGGAACTCTGACTCCACCTCTCCGTTCGACACGTTCAGCAGGACGGCCGGAAACTCAACTGATGAGGGAGCAAAACACATGTGAAGCCAAGCGATGAGACATGAAACTCGAGAGGCGTCAGGACTCTTACTGATCTCCTGGCCGCAGCTGCTCTTCTCTCTCCAGCAGGTGGACTCAAAGTCAATGATGATCAGGAAAGAGAAGCGCTGCTCTGAGAAACAACAACACCAGCAGCAGCAGCAGAGTCAGTGACGATCCACACATGAACACACAGCAGAGACTCTTACTGCAGACCGACAGAGACACTCACACACACACTCACACACACACACACACACACACACTCACACACACACACACACTCTCTCTCTCTCTCACTCACACACACACACACACTCTCTCTCACACTCAGCAGAGACTCTTACTGCAGACAGACGGCCGCTGATGAGCTCCAGATGAGTGACTGCGCTTCCTGATCAGACCCAGCTCCCTGACACACACACACACACATGAAATAACGTTTATATAACACTAATCTGTTTAATCTGAGTGTTAGTGTCAGATGAGATGTTTCTTACTTCGCCAGACTCTTTGTTGACATGCTGCTGCTTCACACACAAACACCTTCTTCTTCTTCTTCTTCTTCTTGAAATTTTATTGGCGGTTGACAAACAACAAAATGGTGTATTTCCGCCACCAACTGGAATGGAGTGTGGATCAAAAATTTACTTCCTTCCTTCCCAATTTTCCTTCTTTTTTTTTTTTAAATTCTCTCCCACAAATTAGTTATTTTAAGGAACTGAAAAATAAAACTATAGCATTCATTCCTTGAGCTATTTTGTAAAATATATCTCGGTATAAATTGCATTTTTCTGTCCTCGTTTGCCTTTACAGCTACGTGTGATGGAACCCAGATAAAGCCCAGTAACTGATCATTAATGGTTTCCTTCTCACTTCCAGAGGAATCTCCTCTAACAGGACGTGTACAGAAGGAACGGGTGTCGTTTCTACAGCTCCACAACACCGTCTCAAAGCTTGGGCTTGTGTTTTATCCAGTTTCTCCAACAGGGTTTTTGAAGCCGAACCATGTGCCACACTGCCGTAATCAAACACAGATCTGATCAGTGCCACATAGATGGTTTTTAACCACAAAAAACGTGCCCCGCATGCCACTCCACTTACACATCTCATGATGTTTAATACCTTCTGACATGTTTCAATAACTTTGTTTATATGATCCACCCATGTAAGTTTTGAATCAAAATAAATACCTACAAATGTAAAAACTCTAACTCTCTCTAAGGACCTCCCGTACATCTTCAAGTTTATTTCTGGTATAATCCCTTTCCTAGAGAGAATTATAGTCTTGGTGTTTTCTACTGAATGTAAATCCCCAATCACCTGCCCATTCTTCTACCCGTCGAATTGCTTCTTGCATCCTTCCATTAATATACAAAATATTCCTTCCCCTTTTCCATAGAGCTCCATCATCAGCGAAAGAGATCGACCTACATCTTGCTGTACTTGATTAAATACACCATTAATCATTCTGGAAAAAACTAATGGACTTATAACACTCCCTTGTGGAGTTCCATTTTCTCTCTCACATCTGTTCGACAATTCATTTCCAATTCTCACCTGTATACTTCCGTACGCCATAAAATCTTTAATCCAATTGTAAATTCTTCCCTCTATACTCATCATTTTCAGCTTTATCAAAAGTCCCTCCCTCCACATCATATCATATGCTTTCTCAACATCGAAAAACACTGCAATTACTGACTCGTTATTTACCTGAGCTCTCCTAATTTCATTTTCCAAACATACAACAGGGTCCATTGTGCCTCTTCCTTTTCTAAAACCACTTTGATATTTAGTTAATATTCCGCTCTTTTCCAATAAATGTGTCAAACGGTCTGTAACCATCCTTTCCATTAATGTACATATATTCGAAGTAAGAGCTATTGGCCTATAATTAGATGGTTTAGAAGGATCTTTGCCAGGCTTTCTTATTGGAATTGTTACAGCTTCTTTCCAAGCATTTGGTAATCTTGCTTCCTCCCATTCTCTATTATACAGATCTAAAAATGTGCCCATAGCCCCATCTTTAAGATGTTTCACCATTATATTTGTGATCTGATCTTTTCCTGGAGACGACAGTGTATTAATTAAATGACTAATTGCTCTTTTCAGCTCATCTAGAGTAAACCGGAGGTTAACTGACTGATCTTCTATTCCCCCATTTTTTCCTAGATCTTCTAGATGTTGTCTCTGTTATTTCCCTCCTCCTCCTCCCTTCTTCACTCACGTTCCCTGACCCATGGATCCGTACAAATGTTTTCACCAGCATTTCTGCTGTCCTTGTCTGTTACCGCAACTTCCCGTTCGGTTTCTAATACTGGATATACCCGCTCTCTTTTATTGCCTCCCATTCTTTTCATCATTCTCCACACGTCACCCACTGGTGTGGTTCTCCCAATCTCACCACAAAAGCTTCGCCAGCCATCTCTTTTAGCTTGCCTTATAGTTCGTCTTACCACTGCTTGAGCTTTCTTGTAGAATATTAAATGATTATAATTATGCATTCTCTTTAGAAGTTTAAAAGCCTTATTTCTAGCTCTCACAGCTTTACCACTTACTGTTGAAGAACACGGAGGGTTTGTGGTTGAAGGGTTCATTGAAAATGATTGTGACAGATTCTAAGCTTTTTATCAGCTGTCCACAGGTTTAGTGCACCTATACATCCTTTACAAACAGAAACATTGGTCTCCTTATTAAGCTTCACTTCGTCAAAGTTAAGTTCCTATCTCCTTGTTTTATTATTTCACTGTGTTTCTGTTGAACGTCCGTGTTCTGGTGAAGACAAACCCTTCTGAGAAGCTATAAAACAGACGAGTTCTTCCACGCAGCTGCTGATCAGAGCTGGGTCTGCTTCGGTGTTCTGCTCGCCGAGGCTACACAGATCAGCAGGGCACAGATTCGGGTCAGCACAGGCCTCGCACTGGTGTTATGAGTGCAAGGGTTTGGGGAATCACTGCGAGGAGAGATCAGTGATTTGTCCCATTGTGCAGGAGTACAACAACCGTAGTGCAAGTCAATAAGTCCAATATGATGTTATATTATATCTGACTCCCATTTTTTCCTAGATCTTCTAGATGTTGTCTCTGTTATTTCCCTCCTCCTCCTCCCTTCTTCACTCACGTTCCCTGACCCATGGATCCGTACAAATGTTTTCACCAGCATTTCTGCTGTCCTTGTCTGTTACCGCAACTTCCCGTTCGGTTTCTAATACTGGATATACCCGCTCTCTTTTATTGCCTCCCATTCTTTTCATCATTCTCCACACGTCACCCACTGGTGTGGTTCTCCCAATCTCACCACAAAAGCTTCGCCAGCTATCTCTTTTAGCTTGCCTTATAGTTCGTCTTACCACTGCTTGAGCCTTCTTGTAGAATATTAAATGATTATAATTATGCATTCTCTTTAGAAGTTTAAAAGCCTTATTTCTAGCTCTCACAGCTTTACCACTTACTGTTGAAGAACACGGAGGGTTTGTGGTTGAAGGGTTCATTGAAAATGATTGTGACAGATTCTAAGCTTTTTATCAGCTGTCCACAGGTTTAGTGCACCTATACATCCTTTACAAACAGAAACATTGGTCTCCTTATTAAGCTTCACTTCGTCAAAGTTAAGTTCCTATCTCCTTGTTTTATTATTTCACTGTGTTTCTGTTGAACGTCCGTGTTCTGGTGAAGACAAACCCTTCTGAGAAGCTATAAAACAGACGAGTTCTTCCACGCAGCTGCTGATCAGAGCTGGGTCTGCTTCGGTGTTCTGCTCGCCGAGGCTACACAGATCAGCAGGGCACAGATTCGGGTCAGCACAGGCCTCGCACTGGTGTTATGAGTGCAAGGGTTTGGGGAATCACTGCGAGGAGAGATCAGTGATTTGTCCCATTGTGCAGGAGTACAACAACCGTAGTGCAAGTCAATAAGCCCAATATGATGTTATATTATATCTGACTGATGGAGATGCTGCTATAATTTACTGGAGCTGAAACAGCAATTTTTCTTCTAATTTAATCAGCAGTCGTTTAAACAGCACTGTTGAGGAATGTGGCTCAAATGTAAGAAATGTAGTGTTTGGAAACGCCTCAGACTGCAGGAAAGGTTTTGATCATATCGCTCGCCTCTTAATATGGAGTCACTATTGCGTTAATCTGCCAGTGAGGTCACTTTAAATGTCTTAAACGGGCATTAGGTTTCAGTTTGTGTGCATTAGTTTAGGACCCTGTATCATTATGAATCGACTTCATGTCAGACTATCAATACTGAACAAAAAGTGAATTATTTATGAACTCAGTTCAGTTTGAATGAACAGCTCAACACAGACGTACTAAGAAACACTTTAATTTCATCTCCCCTGGAAAAGGGAACATTTGAACATTTCATACAAAAACAAACGAGGACATGAACAGGACACTCGTGATGACATCAGACATTCTTTGACACGCGTTGTTCTTTTCTCTCACTGTTAATCACGGTTACACTAAAGACGAAACACCATCATGAGGAATAAATAAACCTGCAGGACACGTCGACACTTAAAATGAGGGAGCGCCGTCGGAAACCAGGTTAAAATACTACAGGACGCACTCATACACACTCACACTGGAAACGGCTCGGTATCTTCAGCACCTTTAAAACGCTCTGAACTCGGGCCACGCCAGGAGAGGTCACGGGAGGTCACAGACGACACACGCTGGGTGTCAGGAGTCAAGTGCAGTCTTCTGATTGGCTGTCGATTACACCCGGACTGAGCGAGGCTTCTGATTGGCTGCCGAGCCTTCACTACCAAACCTGAGGAACGTCGAAGAGCGCCGGTGGCATCGTTTCAGAAGCTGTACGACAGAAAACAAACAAACAGTCAAGTTCAGCGGACGAGAGTTACGCGGCGTACATCAATGTAAACGCTCACTGTCTGACTTCCTCTTCTTGTGTCTGCGGCTCCTTTTACCTTGACTCTGATTGGCTGAGGACTCCCCAGGCTCCGCCTCCTCCTGCACTGGACTCAGAGGCTCCGCCTTCATCAGGCCTGAAGAAACAGCAGCTAATCAGACGGCATCATGACATCATGTGAGTGAGTTAAAGGGGCGGGGCACTTACTGCAGTCTGGACCAATCACAGGAGCCAGTCACATCGGCGTACGTCTGCGAGCAGCTTCCTGTGACACGAACGAAATTAAACATCTCATGTTAACGAAATAAACGGGTTTGAAATGAGTGAGTTAAAGGGGCGGGGCACTTACTGCAGTCTGGACCAATCACAGGAGCCAGTCACATCGGCGTACGTCTGCGAGCAGCTTCCTGTGACACGAACGAAATTAAACATCTCATGTTAACGAAATAAACGGGTTTGAATAATTACTGTTACCATAAAGTTTTATTAAACACTCAATTCATTAGTGTGGACTGTAATATAATCATGTCTGTAGCTGCTGGTATGGTTCTAGTGTGTTGAAGTGGAGGCTGTTACGGTCATCACTGTAGTTTGTCAGAGTGAAAGCAGACTCACGGACCGTCGGTCTTGATCTTCTTGACGCTGCTGTAGTTTGTCCAGCTGCTGTCAGCGTCGTGATTCTGCTCCTCCGGAGACGTACTGATGCCCCTCTTGACCGCCTGCAGTCTGAACACACACACACACACACACGGTCACGGTCACATGACTAACTCGTGCCGCGCATCTGAGGGACTCTGACTCACCGGCTGTGGGCGTGGCTGAAGCCCGAGGCGGTCGTCATGGCGGCGGCGCTGTAGGAAGTGTCCGCCCAGCCGTCGTCAGTCCACCTCCTGCTGGTGTGTGTGCTCTTCTGTCTGGACTGCATGTACTCAGCGTAGGTCTGGATGCAGTAGCTCTCGGCGTAGCGGCTAGTGTTCATGGCTGTACACACACAGCAGACGTTAGCAGACCATCGGCCCACACTGAAGCAGAGCAGCTGAATCTTACCTATCTGAACCTGCTCCGTCTGACTGAGACACACGAACGCTGACATGTCATCGATCCACGACACCTGGATGTTCCCTGAGACACGGCAAACACAGATCAGCACACACACCCAACCAGACACTGACAGACGAGCGTGTGTGTGTGTGTGTCAGTGAAGGTGTTACCAAAGGCGCTGAAGAGCTGGTACAGGTCGCTGGTCTTCCACTCTTTAGGGAACGTGACGTACAGGACATGATCTCTCTTGGGCTGCACTGAAAACACACACACACAACGTTTGATAACGGACACTGTGAATGCATGAATGAGACACCGTATGCATATTGAGTGTGAGTGTCTTACGGTCAGGTCCACTCATGTTCAGGTAGGGAATGTCAATCACCCTCATCAGGAATAATCTAGAAAACACACATGAACTCATAGGAGACACAGATTCAGACAGGTGTGTGTGAGAGAGTGTGTGTGTGTGTGTGTGAGAGAGTGAGTGAGTGAGTGAGTGTGAGAGAGTGAGTGTGAGGCTCACTTGTTGTAGAAGGGTTCGAGGAGTTTGGAGCGGGCAGAGATGTGACTCTTTGGAGGAGTGAGAAAAGATCCTGAGAGAAGAGAGACACACATGAAAAACGAAACTGTTCAGATTTCATAAACTGAGCTCTGATTGGATGAGCAGATCTGAAGCTGCAGTAACTCGCACGAGATATTAACAGTCACTCTCTTGAACAAGATTAGCTGGCAGATCGACCGATTACACATCTTTTTCATAGAGTAATAAATCCCATTTATTTTCTCCAATAGAGACAATAACTTAACCCTTAGAGACAGAACTACTGTAAGTTGTGAGGTTGTTAATTGATATATGCTTTTCTAGCTGGTTGGTTTGGTTCATAACTTTCATAACTCTTCATAAGACTCCTATGAGAAAAAGCCCCTCTGGGAGCAGATCACTACTCCTGCACATCACACACACACACACACACACACACACTCACCCAGGTAGTTTGCCATGGAGATGAAGCACAGTCCAGTGATGAAGGCATCATAACCGGCTTCATGAAGCTGCTCTGTGGACGTGTCGTAACTCTGGAGGCCTTCAGGACACTCTGAACAACACACACACACACACACACACGCGCATGAGGCCGGAGAGTGACGTGAGCGAGTCCGAGTGTGTGTGTGTACCGGTGGTGGGTGATCTGAAAGGTTTCTCTCTCAGCTGTTTGTGCAGTTCAGCCAGTGATGTGTTGCTGATGATCTCCTGTCACACAAACACACTCACTAAACACACACAGCTCCAGATCACTACTGAACACATACACTCATTAAACACACACAACGCACCTTGTAGGGCTGCGTGGATGCCATCAGCTTGGTGTCCAACAGCCTGAAACACACACACACAGCGTGAGCCGGTGCACACATGAGCAGAGACACACGTATGATCAGAGGTTACCTGGGAAACACAGACATGGCCACCTCCTTAAAGTCATCCAGCTCCTGTAAACGCACACAGAGCTCATCAGACTGGGACACGTCACACTCTCCCACAATCCTTCAGTGCTTCATCATGTTACCTCAGGCAGCGGCCCACAGAACTGATGGATGGTGTGCATGACGTCCAGCAGCATGTTGTGACCCACCACCAGTTTACCCTGCGTCACACACACACAAGCAGGTCAGGACGGTTTATTTCACAATAATCTGAATGTGTGTGTGTGTGTGTGAGAGAGTGAGTGAGAGTGAGAGAGAGAGAGAGAGAGAGAGACACTCACAGATTTAGAGATGGCTCTGATAACTCTGGAGAAACCCACAGCCTCATTTAGCTCCTCCTGTAACACAATCAGTCATGACATCAGCTTATGCAGCGATCGAGTCACGTGACACGTGTGTGCGTTTCTACACACCTGCTCTCTCTGCTGCTCTCTCCTCCTCCTCCTCCTCCTCCTCCTTCCTCTTCTTGTGTCTGCGGCTCCTTTTACCTTGACTCTGATTGGCTGAGGACTCCCCAGGCTCCGCCTCCTCCTGCACTGGACTCAGAGGCTCCGCCTTCATCAGGCCTGAAGAAACAGCAGCTAATCAGACGGCATCATGACATCATGTGAGTGAGTTAAAGGGGCGGGGCACTTACTGCAGTCTGGACCAATCACAGGAGCCAGTCACATCGGCGTACGTCTGCGAGCAGCTTCCTGTGACACGAACGAAATTAAACATCTCATGTTAACGAAATAAACGGGTTTGAATAATTACTGTTACCATAAAGTTTTATTAAACACTCAATTCATTAGTGTGGACTGTAATATAATCATGTCTGTAGCTGCTGGTATGGTTCTAGTGTGTTGAAGTGGAGGCTGTTACGGTCATCACTGTAGTTTGTCAGAGTGAAAGCAGACTCACGGACCGTCGGTCTTGATCTTCTTGACGCTGCTGTAGTTTGTCCAGCTGCTGTCAGCGTCGTGATTCTGCTCCTCCGGAGACGTACTGATGCCCCTCTTGACCGCCTGCAGTCTGAACACACACACACACACACACGGTCACGGTCACATAACTAACTCGTGCCGCGCATCTGAGGGACTCTGACTCACCGGCTGTGGGCGTGGCTGAAGCCCGAGGCGGTCGTCATGGCGGCGGCGCTGTAGGAAGTGTCCGCCCAGCCGTCGTCAGTCCACCTCCTGCTGGTGTGTGTGCTCTTCTGTCTGGACTGCATGTACTCAGCGTAGGTCTGGATGCAGTAGCTCTCGGCGTAGCGGCTAGTGTTCATGGCTGTACACACACAGCAGACGTTAGCAGACCATCGGCCCACACTGAAGCAGAGCAGCTGAATCTTACCTATCTGAACCTGCTCCGTCTGACTGAGACACACGAACGCTGACGTGTCATCGATCCACGACACCTGGATGTTCCCTGAGACACGGCAAACACAGATCAGCACACACACCCAACCAGACACTGACAGACGAGCGTGTGTGTGTGTGTGTGTGTGTCAGTGAAGGTGTTACCAAAGGCGCTGAAGAGCTGGTACAGGTCGCTGGTCTTCCACTCTTTAGGGAACGTGACGTACAGGACATGATCTCTCTTGGGCTGCACTGAAAACACACACACACAACGTTTGATAACGGACACTGTGAATGCATGAATGAGACACCGTATGCATATTGAGTGTGAGTGTCTTACGGTCAGGTCCACTCATGTTCAGGTAGGGAATGTCAATCACCCTCATCAGGAATAATCTAGAAAACACACATGAACTCATAGGAGACACAGATTCAGACAGGTGTGTGTGAGAGAGTGTGTGTGTGTGTGTGTGAGAGAGTGAGTGAGTGAGTGAGTGTGAGAGAGTGAGTGTGAGGCTCACTTGTTGTAGAAGGGTTCGAGGAGTTTGGAGCGGGCAGAGATGTGACTCTTTGGAGGAGTGAGAAAAGATCCTGAGAGAAGAGAGACACACATGAAAAACGAAACTGTTCAGATTTCATAAACTGAGCTCTGATTGGATGAGCAGATCTGAAGCTGCAGTAACTCGCACGAGATATTAACAGTCACTCTCTTGAACAAGATTAGCTGGCAGATCGACCGATTACACATCTTTTTCATAGAGTAATAAATCCCATTTATTTTCTCCAATAGAGACAATAACTTAACCCTTAGAGACAGAACTACTGTAAGTTGTGAGGTTGTTAATTGATATATGCTTTTCTAGCTGGTTGGTTTGGTTCATAACTTTCATAACTCTTCATAAGACTCCTATGAGAAAAAGCCCCTCTGGGAGCAGATCACTACTCCTGCACATCACACACACACACACACACACACACACTCACCCAGGTAGTTTGCCATGGAGATGAAGCACAGTCCAGTGATGAAGGCATCATAACCGGCTTCATGAAGCTGCTCTGTGGACGTGTCGTAACTCTGGAGGCCTTCAGGACACTCTGAACAACACACACACACACACACACACACTCACCCAGGTAGTTTGCCATGGAGATGAAGCACAGTCCAGTGATGAAGGCATCATAACCGGCTTCATGAAGCTGCTCTGTGGACGTGTCGTAACTCTGGAGGCCTTCAGGACACTCTGAACAACACACACACACACACACACACACTCACCCAGGTAGTTTGCCATGGAGATGAAGCACAGTCCAGTGATGAAGGCATCATAACCGGCTTCATGAAGCTGCTCTGTGGACGTGTCGTAACTCTGGAGGCCTTCAGGACACTCTGAACAACACACACACACACACACACACGCGCATGAGGCCGGAGAGTGACGTGAGCGAGTCCGAGTGTGTGTGTGTACCGGTGGTGGGTGATCTGAAAGGTTTCTCTCTCAGCTGTTTGTGCAGTTCAGCCAGTGATGTGTTGCTGATGATCTCCTGTCACACAAACACACTCACTAAACACACACAGCTCCAGATCACTACTGAACACATACACTCATTAAACACACACAACGCACCTTGTAGGGCTGCGTGGATGCCATCAGCTTGGTGTCCAACAGCCTGAAACACACACACACAGCGTGAGCCGGTGCACATGAGCAGAGACACACGTATGATCAGAGGTTACCTGGGAAACACAGACATGTGTGTGCGTGTGTGTGTGTGTGCGTGAGTGAGTGTGTGAGTGTGTGTGTGCGTGTGAGTGTGTGTGCGCGAGTGAGTGTGTGTGCGCGCGCGAGTGTGTGTGCGCGAGTGAGTGTGTGTGCGAGTGAGAGTGTGTGTGTGTGTGCGCGCGAGTGAGTGTGTGAGTGTGTGCGCGAGTGAGTGAGTGAGAGAGTGAGTGAGTGAGAGAGTGTGTGCGAGTGAGTGTGTGTGTGTGAGTGTGAGTGTGTGTGCGAGTGAGTGTGTGCGCGCGCGAGTGTGTGAGTGTGTGTGCGCGAGTGAGTGTGTGCGCGAGTGAGTGAGTGAGAGAGTGAGTGAGTGAGAGAGTGTGTGCGAGTGAGTGTGTGTGTGTGAGTGTGAGTGTGTGTGCGAGTGAGTGTGTGCGCGCGCGAGTGTGTGAGTGTGTGTGCGCGAGTGAGTGTGTGCGCGAGTGAGTGAGTGAGAGAGTGTGTGTGTGTGTGTGAGTGAGTGAGAGTGAGAGTGTGTGTGTGTGTGTTTGTGTGTGAGAAAGAGA